ATGAAAATAAGCATTTCATTGCACGTGTGCATATGACAAATAAACAGAACCAAACTGAGCTGACGAAGTCAATTTAAAAGTAAAAACAGGTGGGAGTTCTTTGCTGAAACTTGTAGATGTCTGCTTCATGCTATGTAACGATATTTTGGTTGATTCAAAAATTGCTGGATATGATTCTCACATCAATGAGGCTCTTACAGATCTTTTTTTTTCCTTATATCCTACAGAGTCTCTTAGATATTCAGATGAATATTTGTACTGTCAAACCCCAGGCAGTGTGTCTTGTCATAATTTCTGTAAGAGTTTTTACTGTGCAACTAACTTTAGTACTAAATTAACACCTGTCTGCTTACCATCCCTCTCCTTTCAAACCCCTTTCAAGTTTGTATTTTTTTCCATTTCTTTGGTTTTGATTTGTTCATTTAGTTTTAATGCTTTTGTTTATGATGCGCACAGCACCATTTTAAAATGTTAGATTTTCTTCTCTTAAAGGTGCGTGTGTCAAATATTTTTCACAACTCTTTAAAAGCACATTCAGGAGGTTTCATCCTTACCAAACAAAGCATGTAATTGCAAGATGCACTTTGTAATCATATTCTTGCCAAACCAAAGATCAAGTGCTCAATAAACAACTTTTTTATTCCTGTCCCAGAGACTATGCTTTCCAAGAAGGATAAAGGAAGAAAAATGACTGAAAAATAAACTTAAAATATAGATATAGATATAGATTTTCCATTCAAAAACTAATAAAGATAGTAGATGGAGAACAATGTTGGTCATGATGATAATAGAAATAAAAATATGTCAGCAGATACTTGAAGCCATGCTCCTTTATGCTTTTTCTGCTGAAAACATATCCCAGATTCCATAAGACAAGGTGTTCAAATTCGAGGAGACAAGTAAAATATGTTAATATGTATAATGTTAAATAATTCACGCACCATTATAATAGCAAAACTCTAATAACACTTGGAGGATAGGTGATGTTGCAATGGAAATCTGAGATCGATCACATCTTCCTAGAAACAATACATTAATGTACTATATGTGTGCAATTATAGGTGTAACTCAATATTTTTTTTCCTGTTTTAACAAGCTACAATCTCAGAGACTCCTAGGGCTCTCAGAAACAAGAGGAAACATTGCATCCCAATTCTTGTTGATCAATAATGTCACAAACCCTCTTGTTTGTGAGGAATGAACCCAGGAGTCAGCTGCAAAGACGAAGTTGAGGTGAAGGGAGGGAGGGGCTATAAAAGTTCACCATGTTGTGGGCAGCCATGAAGCATTTCTAATAGGAAAGCAGAATTTTGACATTTGAATTTGACCTCATTCAGAACCTCTGGTAAATAATTCAATTGATCATTATTATCTTCATTAATTTAATATTTCACTTTGTTTTTACATTTAAATTGAGGGTCCTTTAGTATTGCTTGAAAAATGGTACCCCAACCAGAAGAGGTTGAAAACAACTGGAGTACTCAAAAGAGAGTTACAGACAAACAGTGCGCTATCCATACATAATACATTTTGAAACAATTCCTGTGACAGTTCTGTTGCCAACTAAGAATATCAATCATGAGAACAGCTCAAAACAAAACACCAGGTATGGTTATTTTATCTTCCCTATCCTAGTGTAGTTTTAGAAAACAGAAGAAAAATGAATGAATGGATCACAATCTCCTTCATGTATGGAGTCTTGTTAAAGGCTACAGAGGTATTAATCATTTCAGCATCCCATTTAGTTGTTAGAACTCATTTTCTGGATGAGTTGGTGATATTTAAGCATCAGTGAAGTGGGGAGACCTTGATGGGATACCACAGTTTCCTGCACCAGTGATGCGTGATATTGGACAATCAGCAGTTGCGTCACTAGTAAATGGCAGAGGCCTGCATTTCCTTGTTTAATTTTGCAACATTGAACAATTTGCATTGCAAATGATTATTACAGTGTACTAAGCATTCCAAACACCTTTTAATGATTGGACGTCTTGAACAGTTTCCCCAGTTTATTGTATAATAAGATCTACAAATAAAAATGTCATTATCTTTATATAAATAATTGACAGATATATTTGCATTTACATACAGCATATTATAAATAGGGGCAGCATAGTGGGGCTGTAGTGAGTATTACTACCTGACAGCACTGAGGCCCTGGGTTCAATTCTGGACCTGGGGTGCGATCTGTGTGGAATTTGTATAGTACAGTATGTTCTCCCCGTGTTTGCAATGGTTTTCTTTTAAACTGATTACTACTTCAATTCAAATCAACTCAGAACTGAATTTCAGAGAGAGACAATCCTGTTATCGGGTCTGTATGCCCCTCTAGCACACTTGAACATGGATGGCTGTCTATTGCTTGTTAGCATCCTGCCTGTTGCTTGCTAGTAATGGAAGATGAATTATAATGTTTTATCAGTGGACACTAATGGAAAGTGCTGTTCATACCCATACATTTCTTATCACGGGAGGTATTTATTCTGTATGTAGGTAGGACCCTTGTGTTGTCTAAGAAACACCTGTTGATACTGAATTGCTCCTTCTTGAAAAGGCACATGTCAGTCCCCCCCGTGGGGATGGGGAGAAGAATTTGGTGAAAGACAAAGAGGTGATAACTGGAGGAATGCGTGAATGTGCTTCGCTGCAAATAGGAGGTGAAGCATGTTTGTTCAGGTCACAATCAGGACCATTGTAATGGGGTCATGACGTGATAAAAGGTCAGCTATAGCCTGAAAGAAAAAGAAGAGCTGGCAGGTGCCGTCTGTCTACAGATTAATTTATGGTGTAGATTTTGTAAGATGCCTGGTTTTAAGGATGTATTGTAAACAGAATGCCACTTAAGCTTTGTGCTGAAGGACCTGTGTTTCTAGCAAATAAATTCTAAGCTTTCAAAAAGCAGTGCCTCAGTTTAGAACATCCCTTTTAGACATATTTAATAGAGCATGAATTGCTTCCATTTGACATTAACCTTCTCTTTCAACTGATTTTCTCTGAAGGTTTTTAAATTTAAAAGGCTTTAATAATTCAATTTTTGGCAAAAGGGGTAATTAAACTAACATATTTTAGAAAATAATGTAGTGTAACCCATAATCTTTTCTTTAACTTACATCTAACACGTTTATCCACTTTCCTGTTAAACCACCCCTCATTGTGTTTTATTGTCTGTAGTTACGCAATAGCCCAAGGTCACAGATACATTTTGTCACTTATACAAATATTTTATTTCTTATCTGGCTTTCCCACAGTTGACCAGAGGGCACACGCAAATTCAGCTGTCTTTTTAACCCTTTCATCACAGCACTTTTTGAGAATATACTGTGTATGCTTACTTTTAGAAACTTTATGCATGTGCAGTATTTTTTCAGAAACAAAACAAAGCAGAAATATTTTTCATATTGTTTTAATTTATTTTTTGCATCCTTTTAATTGATCATTCATAAGTGACCGTTATACACTTAATCACTTAATTAGGGAAATAGCTGATTGGGCACAGACTGTAACCCGTTGAATGTCAATTCAAAAGAAAGTTATCAATATGTTCAATATGCAGTATCGTGGAGCAACTGCTTCTTTCCCAGCTGCCCACTTTGTAGGGACAGCCTGATCTTGGCAGTGTCCTGGTGCTTCCTTAATGACTGACTTCCCCAGGCCCACAGATCTATTAACAGTCTTTGAAATTGTTTTTTTTTTACAATTTTTGTACAACTTTATCCCTGAGTTGCTCTGAAAAGTCCTCAATCTTCATGTAATTAATGAATCTTCATGAATCTTTGCTTTTAATTTACTACCTGACTGAAGGACCTTACAGAGACAGGTGTTTTTATTCTGACATCATGTGAACCACTATTATCGTACACAGACAGAGGCAATTCTACTTATTATGTGGCTAATTTTAAATTTTATGTACCTCAATTACTTTAGGTTCGCCATAGCAAAGCATTTGGATATTTGTGAAATTACATTTTCTTTCATGTTAATTATCCATTTACCACTTTTTGTTGTTTGCTTTGAATATGTGGAGTAAGTAGTTTAATATTAATAACAAATATTAATTACTGTTTCAAAGTAATTCTAGAAAAAGTCTACAAAAGTTTTAATTCATTTTAAAAAAAGTTTGGCTCCACTGTTGGTCTGAGGTGTTGCTTCAGACTGATGGGTGGGAACGTATTATACTGTAGATGGAGCAAAGTACAGGCAGATCTTAAAGGTAAACATGCTTCAGAGCTAACACTAGGATAACAATTCACCTTTCATCAGGACAGTAACCCAAAGCACAAGACCAAAGCTGCAGTGGAGTGGCTTAAGAATAAGAAATGTCTTTGTATGGGCCAGGCGAGAAGCCTGTTGAGAAACTATGGAAAGACTTGAACACTGATGTCCATGAAAAATTCTCAAGTCACTTGAGAGAGACTGTTGAGAAGAATTGCACCAAACCAGTGTTCTAATTTGGTAAAGACTGGCCCACAAACCTTCAGCTGTTATCGCAGTCTGTGGTGTTTCCACTAAATATAGAGCTCACAGGTCTGAATACTTATAAAAATCAACATATTTCTATTTACTGCAATATACCTTGTTACTGTTTGAGTATATTCAGGTTTTGAATAAAATATCAAATTAAAAGAAAATGTTTATGCATTATTTTGTAATTATACAAACTTATAATTCATTGCAAAGCAGTGTATGTTATATTGAGTTAGTGGACTTTTTAGTTTCTGTAACTCTAATTTTTGCATCAGCTAAGATCTCAATCATTTAGGCCAACCCTAAATTTTACAGATAATCTACTAGTTAGATCTTTGAAATGTTTTACGTTCTGGAACTCAAAGATTAATTTACCTGTGAAAAATCGTAATTCGTGTGAAAACGTAATATTTTGGGGGAGAGTGAAGGGAAATCCCACCCTAATAAACATAGTGAAAAACTGGATCTTCATTCCCATTGTGGAAAGATTGGACCTGCTGCTTTCTACACGTGTAAAAGACAAAGCCATTGCATCTTTGTGGTTTTATTTATCTTTTGAGGGTACATGAAAGGAACTGCAATCTATGGTCTTAAATGTGGGTGTGCTTCCCATGGTAATGAAACAAATATAGAATCTGCCCACTGTATAACCAATGCAATGTACTACAACGCAAGCATTTATACTGCATATAGAATGTCATTTCCTTTTCAGGAGTGCTACAGACATGCCAGGGCCTTTAAAAAAAAAGTTTTTAAAAAGCCCTGTTTAAAATATTAACAGTAACAAGGATACACACTTTAGTTGTAATGCTTGTCTTCTTCTAAATTTGCTTTGGTAAATACTGACTGTGTCTATGCTTTGTACCACATGCACCATGAGGCGATTATCATGACAGTGAAAATGAGGAGCAGAAGGACATAGAGTCTGAAGAGCAGGCAGTCCCAGATGTAGGCAATTTGGATCCATTCCCCCTGTGTGCTGTGGTACTGGCTTTGGGAATCCAGGTGAGCCCGGATGACTTCCACATCCTGGGACAGTTTTTGGAGGTTGTGAATCATGGCACCTGATTGGTCTTCCAGGATCACACTTGGATCTTTGTGTTCTGTTAAAATAAAGCAACAAGATGGGATATTGGTTTTGAATGAATATTTCTACAGCCTAAGATTAGCTTGTGCCTCAGTTCCACAAAATCTACAGACTAAGAGTGATTTGCTTTCTCAAAATAAGTGTGTTCAATGTTAATTTGTAAGAATACATTTAGGATTTACTCTAGATTGTCTTGAAAATATCCTGAGTATAGAAGAAAAAAGGAGAGATCAAATATAGGCTACAGCTGCTTTGATGGTCATGTTTAGTGTTAATGATAGCAAGATTAGTAAGCTGTTTTGAAAATTATCCTTTTGGAGAAGTCTTAGTGGACAGGCTTTTCTTCTGTGTGTATACATATCTTCCGATTTAACTGAATTGTTGTGGTAAGATTAATATTTATTGCATCACATTAATGCAAAATGGTCAAAGGCCATTACATGAAGTTTCGTTTTACAAATGTGGTGTATTTAAATTAGAAAATTAATTCCCAAAACTTTATAAAAGCTATGAGCTTGGGTGGCTTCTGTTTTGTCCAGGTTCTCTGATTTCTGCTAAACTTCTAAAGACATGTCAGCTAGATTAAATTGTGTCTCTAAATTGTATATTTGCCTGTGTTTGCCCTGTAATTGACAACCCTGTGGTCCTATCGGGGGTGTGTCTTGCCTCCTGCCTTCTGTCTGGTGGGTTAGTATCAGCTCACCACAGCTCTGGACAGGATGGGGTGACTACAGATGGATAATTTACTGCTTGAAAAGGCAAAATATCACTTTAAAAGGCCCATTTTGCCAGTCATTATAGAAATATTGGTATGAAACATATTCAGTTTTAATGTACAGTTCATACTTTATCTGAGCCATATAAAAACACTGAACATTAAACGGGGTCCTTACCATTCTGGATACTTTTTTCAGTATTTCTTTTGTTTTTGAATGACACAGCTTGTCGATGTGAAGGAGAAAAACAGATAACTCTGCTGATAATATTATATGTTACCCTCCTGAGTAGCATCGGCACTTGCGGGCTTTTTGATCTTGTCTGGTGCAGAATGTTTGTGATAAAAATAGTCTCAACAAGGCTTATCACCATCAGAGCCAGACATACTGAAAAATACACACCTACATAAACAGACAGTGATTAAAAAAAACCCATATGCCTAGGCTGATCAGTCCTAGTCTAAGGAGGGCTGGTGTATCTGTGGGTTTTAAATGTAAGTCTGCTCTTAATGAGCTAAATTAGCTAGTTACTGACTAAATTAGACCAGTTTGACAGCTTCTCCCAGCTCTTCAAGTACTATTGGTTTAAAGAGACCTAGAGAGATATGACCTATAGACACAACTGCCCTACAGAACCAGAACTGATCAGCCCTGTCATTCACGAATACTGTTACACTGATTTAAAAAGATTAAATGTGACTTTTCATAAATAGATTTTGAAGTAAAAATAAAACAAAACTCTCTTTGTTTTTAAATGTCTTGCCTTTTCTATCTGTTACAGACATAGGGTGATGTTCACATAGGCTCTGTCCTTTTGGTAATCCTGCTGTCTCAGTGTACTCGCACAAATCATTCATTTCATTCTGTATTGCGTAAATTATTTCTGTATTAGCCTGGAAATTTTAAAAAAGATTTTACCACTTTTTCCATGGATTAATCATAGATTTAGAGTGGTTTTAACATGGCTTCACTGGGCGTTACTGCACTGCACTATGAATGTCATGATTCAGCCATTATCATAAAGTCGCATAGTCATTTTGAGGGTGTGGCAAGCTGGAACATATCCTGGAAGCAAGGAGGGACTGAGGCTGCACAGTGCCCTTCCCTGGATGGCACACCAGTACCCTGTAGAGCCGTCGAGAAAGGAAAGTCAATCACCCCTAGATATTGTTACATGTAACAATCACCCTGCAACTCACAACTAGCAACACGCTGAAGTTAAGCAGTTGTCAGCTTGGCCACTACCTGGATGAAAAACCCTGTGGGGAAAAACTAAGGTTGTTGCTGGAGGAGGTGTTAGTGGGACCAGTAGTGTAGTGCTCACCCTGTGGTCTGTGTGGGTCTTAATGCCCCAGTATAGTGATGGGGATCTTTTTACTGTTAAAAAGGCACCATCCTTCAGATTACACGTTAAACCAAGGTCCTGACTCTCTTTGGTTATCAAGAGTTCCAAGTGTGTCTTGAAAAGAGTAGGAGTTTTACCCCTGTATCCTGGCCAAATTTCCCCCTGACCTTTACCAGTCATGGATTCCTATTAATCCCCATCTACAGTATAATTGATCAAATTTGATGGTGGTGGTGGTGGTGTTGTTGTTGTTGTTGTTATTATTATGGCTTTGCTGGATAGGAGTGGAAAGACAGTGGAGGAAGGTGTAGAACTCTACAAGACCCACAGGGAGAACCTTCCAAACTCCCACATTCCTGATAATGAAGGACAGATCCCTGGAGCTGTAAGGCAGCACTGTTGACTTCTCTTCCATCCAAGAATGACAGATGTACTGTGATAAATAAGCAATGTATACTACATTACTTTGCTCAACAAGTAGAAGTGCTTGCATCGAGCACAGGCTGAGCTGGATAACAGATTTCTCTGTTGTGTGTCAGATTCATGCCACCAGCCGTGTTTTGGATCTGTACAGCAGCAGCAGCAGCACACAGGTTGCAGAGTGTCGCTGGAGTGAAGCTGGGAATAGTCAGTCAGGGTCTCTCAGCTTTCCAGTTTGAGGCACCTGTGACTGGAGCAGCTGGGGATCTTGCAATATGATAGTGTAGCATCAACATGTTAAAACCATATCCTAAATATGGCTAAACCATAAAAAGTGTAAAAATCCATGGCAAATTCAACAATGTTCATATTCACAAGAAATATTCTCCTGTATAGAGCTCTGTATACTTTTCTATATAACAGTTTTCCTGGTAACCTGCTTTTAAAAAACATACTTTTCCAGCTTCTGTAAATCTCTTACCTATTATCGGCGTCCCACCAGAATTGTTGGGGAGCAGGTCATTCATGATAAGAAGAAAGACCGTGTAACCCAACAGCAGGGTCATTTTGAAGGCCCCACGGTCAACTTGGTGCACTGGCAGGTAGAAACTGAAAAGGTCAATGCCCATCAAAAAGGCACTTGGGATCACGAGATTGACCAAATAGAGCAAAGGTCTCCTTTTGATGGTAACCTGATGGGAAAAGATATAAAGGAGAATATTATTAGCAGAAGAGGGCAAAGGAATTTAAACTAATTATATCCAAAGTGGACATGTACATAGAGTCAAGGGATTGGACTATGTAATAATGCCTGCAGCTACAGAGTCCCAGAGTGCATGGAATTTAATTTACCCCTGATCCAAAGGGCAGAGTACAAGTAGTTTAGATAATCTACTCAAGCTTACACACTATCATATTTAAGACTTGAACAAGGAACCTGAAAATATTTTTCTGAAACATTGGCCCATTTAGCCATTGTCTCTTTGGTTATCCGTTACATGAGGTTTCTGAGGAAATCAAGCAAAGTGATGGTTCAGGCAGGAGATGCTTATCTTTCTTAACATACAGTACAACACAAAACACTAAAGCACCCTTTTCCCTGCATAAATTATAAGTTCTCACCTAAGACCACCTGTTAATTCCTAAACTAAAAAGTTGATGCATTGAATGACGAGCAAAGGAATTTTAAAGCTACATCTCACGACCAGTCATGCTGTGTATTAGAATTTACTCCCTCCTCCACAGCCTCCGCTTGCTCTCTTGACTCTGGCAGACAAGGGGAGTGGCAGTGCAAGGGTGGGCCATTAATCAGGAGAGCTAACGTTCCAAGGGTATCATTAAAGATACAACTAAAGGTCAATTTACAGTAGTAGTTCGGCCTAATTCTAATTCTAGAGGTGACATAGAAGTGAAAATAATTGAAAGTTTAAAATGGATTAAGGTGTATTATTATTATTATTATTATTATTATTATTATTATTAGCCACTGCAAGAGTGAGGGAGAGGATCAAGAAAATGTGCAAAGAAGGGGGCTCAGGAGGTGAGATATTTATGAGTAGGAGAATGGAAGTGGGTGAGATTAGAAAATTGACAACCTCCCAAACCTTTGTTTCAAATCACCATTAATGCATTTTAGAGATTCAGTGCTGGATAAATGCTGCTCACTTGAGTTCTTCTGACTGGACTGTGGCATTACTGTACCGTAAAAACAACTTTGGACCACTCCTCCCCCTGATTGTTCCAAGAACTTGTGTATGCATCGATTCTCAGGAGTTCCCACTCCCCTTTGTTCTGGATGTTCTCCTTTGATTCATTCGTAATCTCCTCTGAGGTCTGGTGGAGTCCCAGGACTAAATCTTTTGCTTTGAAAACAGGGAATCAAAGAAATCAATTTCTTGCAACTGAATACACAAAAAAAAAGGAAATTGAGGATCAAACATATGACCCGAAGAATTATTCCTAACTCATTGAAATCGTATAAAAGAACATGTCACAGATCTTAATAATGTCTACATGTTGTACTGTAATCTTAATAGGATTGCACAGGGCATAGTCAATTTTGTGTTCAATACTACAGCCCAGAAAACATTAAGGTTAGATTTGAAATGCCTAGGTGTAGGGCACTGCTATTATGAATTCATATTTAGATTTTCTGAAGAAAAGCACTATCCCATCCATAACTCATTCTGTTATATGAGGATA